TGTGGTGTTACCTGCTGCTTTGGCTCCCTGTATGGAAAATGGGAATAATGATTCTCAGGATCCTTGTGCTAATGGTTGTCTGTGGGGATTAGTGCGACTGAAAGGAATATTGCACGTGCTGATCAACAGCCAGCTGAACATGACCCAGCTTGTGCCCAGGCAGCCAAGAAGGCCAACAGCATCCTGGCCTGTGTCAGAAATAGTGTGGCCAGCAGGGCCAGGGCAGTGATCTTCCCTCTGTACTGGGCACAGCTGAGGCCCAGTGAAGAGAGTATCAGTCTCTTCCCCCAAGTAAGGATGAGAGGAAATGGCCTCATGTTGTGCCAAGGGAGGTTTAGATTGGATATTGGGAAAAATTTCTTCACTGAAAGAAAAAGTCAGGCATTGGAACAGGTTGCCCAGGCCAGTGCTTGACTCACAGTCCCTGGAGGTATCTGAAATAAGTGTAGAAGTGGCACTTAGGAACATGGTTTAGTGGTGGACTTGGCAGTGTTGGGTTAATGGTTGGACTCATCTTAAAGGTCTTTTCCAACTTAAACGATTCTGTGATTCTGCAGAATCTCTTTCAAGAAATTCTTACCTCCCCAGCTTCTTCCCCCCAAGTCTGACATGCCCAGGCATTCAGTAGGACTTCAGGTATTACAGGAGCTTTTTAATTCACACCCACTGCTCTGTTTTGCATAAACCATTTTTAATTTTTGCAAATGATCCTGATGTTCTTGGATGAGCCTAATTGCTTTGGATTAGCTCACTCCAATTTATAAAATGATACTGTGGTTAGTAAGCATTTGGATATTCCGTTTGCTGGGATGGGAGGTGCAGTGCTGTATACTAACATTTATCTATCCTCTTCTAGTACAATCCCTAGAAGTAAATACCCAATCCAAGCAACAAGAATGCTTATTCCACACAGTGGCTGCGAAAATGTTACGTATTGGAAAGATGTTAACCTATGTCGTCGCAAAGATCTTTTGCCTATATCGTCGCAAACATAACTTACCATTAGGGCAAAGCTAGGCAGATAGAATTATAGAATAGTGTGCATTGGAAGGGACTTTCAAAGGTCATCTGCTCCAACCCCCTGCAATGAGCAGGGACATCTTCAACTAGATCAGGTTGCTCAGAGTCCCCTGCCTGACCTTGAATGTTTGAAGGGATGGGAAGCCCCTCTCTGCATAAAATGTTCCAGTGCCTCACTGCCCTCATCATAAAAATTTATTCCTTGTATATAGTCTGGATCTGCCCTCTTTTAGTTTAAAACCATCACCCCTCGTCCTATTGCTGTAGGTCCTGCCAAAATGTCTGTCACCATCTTTCTCATAGGCCCCCTTTAGGTACTGGAAGGCTGTTGTAAGGTGCCCTCAGAGCCTTCTCTTCTCCAGGCTCTCAACCCCAGCTCTCTCAGCCTGTCTTCATAGGACAGGTACTTCTGCCCTCTGATCATTTCCATGGTCCTCCTCTGGACTTGCTCCTGCAGATAGTGGGGATTTATTTTTAGTTTACATTGAATTTAAAAAAATGCTTTCAGTTTGGGAGTTGGTGGAAATCTAAGTATTTTGAAAAGAGGTGGTGAACCCTCTGGAAGTAGAAAAGGGGCCAAATTAAAAACATGTTTTCTGCTTTTTGATAGAGGTCAAAGAAAATACTTTCTTTAACAATTGAAGGATTATATTACAGTAGAAAAAACTAATTATTTTTGTTTTGAAGTGGTTGCAACAATTTTTATGTTGAATCTTTCTTCTATGCAGGCAGTCAGGGAAATCAATACAGATTCTTGAGCTGCATTAATGTCTGAGAATCTGCGCTTTCCCCTTGAAAAATGATTTAGGTGAAAATTTTCACTCTGCCTTAGAGTGTGTCAGTAGAATTAATTGGGATCAGATAACATATGCTTAACACAAGTAATCATCGTAATATATTTTCACATTATGGCTATTAACATGTTCCTAATGTTGCTTTCTATCAGTGTAGTCTAGGCCACAGGTAGCTATGTAGACTTTCAGAGTAGTGCTTAACTTCATAATGGCATCGGGAATGGCTGGCTATGAATTCAAGCAGCTTCAAAATTGGAAAACAAAATAGTTTGAGTTTGTAAAGGATCTTTGTGAATTGCTGTGGAAAAGGCATCCATTACTACAGCAAATGAGACCAATGAGCTTTACTGCTGAATGTTTCCTGCAGTGGTTCTGCTAGGGGCATACATTGGTGGTTGGGATCTGTGGCATGGAAGAGAAGATCTATGCACTACAGCATGGATAGTGCACTCAAAAACAGATGGAGTGTATGGAGAAGTGGTAGTCTCTGTAAGTCCAGTGAAGGAAGCTGCTGGGGTGCAGCAGAAGTCTTCACTCGTCACTGTTGGTCTTGTATCTGTCTTGTCTCTGAAGTGCCTGGTAAATATATCTTGTTAACACCAGTGTGGGCCTGATTTTGCCACAGGTATCATGAGCTGTTATGCTTTTGGATAGATGTTAATGTGCAATGTGATTTTCAGCTGACATATTTCAGCAATAAAATGTACCATATTGAATCTAAGCAGACTTTGGGTTTGGCAGCAAAGACGTTTCTTTCTACTGTGTACAGTCATGGAGGTCTCATTCCAAAAATCACCTGCTTACACAGAACACTTTTCAGAGGAAAATTTGACATACTTTATCTTAAACATATGCCTAAGAGCTTTCCTGAGTTACTGCTTATGTGAATGCAGTAGAATGTATGGGTCCTATTGTTGCAAATTTATTTTATGGTTTGGTGGTTTGGTTTTTTTTTTTTGAGCTTTTTTAATTAAGAAATTCTTGCCCACCTCTGGCTCAGACCAATAGCTGTAGCCTGCTCAGTCAAGGTGCAGTACCTGGGTATTTACAGTGGTAAATAGAACAAGTCAGGGAATAGGTAGATTTAGTGTAAGCAGTAGAGAAGCTCAGAAGACATGGATAACAGAGAGGAAGACAGCAGCCATTTGCTACACGGCTAATGAAAATACTAGAACAGGTCTGTTGCAGCAACCTCTTCAATCCATTGCCACTTGACTTCCTTACCCTTTTAAACAAAGCGTGAATGCTGCTGACAGTTTGAATGCTACTGCTTTGACTGACAGCCCTTCATGTGTTCCTTCAGGACAGATCATGAATCTGTTTGCACTTCCCTAGCTCCCAGGTAAAATGGATTCCTATTTTTAAGACACAATCTGTGGGGGAAGAGGGCTAGATTTACTGCTAGCAAATCTAGTGGGCAGATTTACTGACCTTTTGCTGTTTCAGATCTCCTTAAACATCCTTGTATCAGCTAGGATCAGGCTGCAGAAGTTACATTTTTGTGGAAGAAATCAGACTTTTTGGCAATATTTTGGATGGTTTGGGCCAGTTCTAGGGAGAGAGAAGAATTGACCGAAGGCAATTTCCCTTTCAGTTGTGTATGTCTCTTCCCTTTGCAATTACAAACAGGCCACCTCCTTTAAGACCTGACTGCCCAGCATTCATTATGCAGATAGGGTCCAGCATATGTAGAAAACTAAAGGTAGGATAAAATTACTTTTGTTTCCTTTAATGCAATTTAGCAGCTGAAAAGTGCCAGTTTCCCCTCCAGAGATTCAGGCACTAGATCACAAATGACTTCTGGGATCTAAGGCATAATTTTTATACAGGCTGAAATTGATTCAGACATCTGATAGAACTGTTAAGCTGTGAGAAAGTGCTGCAAGACATTGTGCAGAGCAGAGCCATGAGAAGAAAGGTTAAGATTGCTGGAGAAGGGAACAGTGTTGACAAAAGATAATCAGTAGCTCAAGGGTTCTTCAAGAGCAAACCCATGAAAAACATACAAAATCCTATAGAAACAAGACCAAGTAGCCTGAGGATGGCAGTTTAGCAATGTCAGTGATCTAAGCAGCAGCAGAAGCCAACCCTTCCCTTCCCTTCCCTTCCCTTCGTGACTGAAGGCTGCCCAGCCAACAGTGACTCCTTGGGTGCCTTTATCAGGGTGGCAAGCACATTAGCTTGTTAGCTCTATCTACACATTGTGAATATTGACCATAAGTTTTACTCTTTTAAGCTGCAAAATCCATGGTGCAGAAGCTTGGTACATAGCAAAAAGCACCCCAATGAAATGACCCAGAGGAGGAAGGTTACAGAACAATGGAGAACTATTGACTATGAGCAGCACCTTCTCCTTTATCACCCTTTGAGAACCACTGCCTTAGGAAAAAAAGGAGGAGTTAGAAAAGCATGAAAACAAGTTCTGAATTTATATTCATCCTTTATTGCAAATTGCTGAACGAGGCGAGTTTATGTGTTTCCTTCTAGCCTTGCCATAGCCAGCCAGCAAAGGGTGTGAGCTAATTGTTAAATTCAGTTCAACAAGTTCCTCATTAGGGGGAAATTACCTGAGTTTGAAATCTGCTAATTTTCCAATCAGGGTGAGTGTTTGCACTTGTGATTTGGAAATAATTAACACATGGTATAACATCAAAGCCTGTGTAAAGGCTAATGGTAGAAGGACTAATTTCCTTGGCATGAAAATGGCGTGGTTGGTTTCCTCAGAGCTCTATCACTATCCTTTCAGTACTGGTATCTGCTGTGTAGGGTGTTCTGGTATATATTTAGATTGGTTCTCTGCAGAGTTGTACTTTTTAATTTTGAAAAATTGAACCCTTATGTTCCAGGGCTATGAGTAATATTTTCATTTTGAAAGGTGCTACATTTATTGCTTTTTTCTTCATGTCAATGCAGACTTTTGCACAATTACTTGCATCTATTATCTCTAAAAGGCGATCATAAATCATCATTTTAGACTAGGGCTTAAGCCTGAATTCTGCAAGATTTAAAGTAGAAAATTTGTTTGTGTTTTCCAGCTACTTTTGTTTCTCCCATGTACATATCTGCTTTCCTAATTAATTGTCCTACCTGGATACCCTTTCTTTCTAAATACTATAGGTCATTCACAGTCCTAGGAATGCCCTTGAGGACTAGAATATGGCTTTCCTGGAAACATACATTTTAAAGTTTCAGCTATTGATATAACCTGATCATCACCACTTCTATGTCTTATCACATAATATTAGCTGGTCTAAACCAGATATTATTTCTGGTAAACAATACTACCTTTATAGCTTAGACCATAGCACTAGTACAACTCAGAGCATTAGTGACCTCTCACCATGAAGCTTGCAAGGGAGAGGGATTTAATCTCTGGTAGTTGAGTCAGCTGCACCCAAGGGTGTCCTTAGTCCTGCTGGTGTGAGTATATCGTGGCTTATTGACAAGATGGGTGTGACGTGACAGCTACCAAGGAGAAGAGTCCATTCCATGTAAGCAGGCAGCATGCAGCAGAACACAGCTGTATAATCTGGACTCGTGTCTAGTCTAGAAGCAGTCCAGTTTGGCCACAGGCACAGTGACACAGAGTGTGGTAAATGAGGTCTGCTTGCCCACAGTTAGCATCACCTTTACACCCCTAAGACCTTCAAGCAGAGCCTCCCACAGAAAAAAAAACAAGCCAGCAAAGGTAGGGTAGCTTTAAACGGTATCTGATCTACCAAAGCTTCATCAAGCAGCATCCTTTAGGCAGGAAGGCTGCCCTGCAAAGATCTAGGAGGAAAATGTGGGTTTTTCTGCCCTGTCTTCTCCAATGTCCATGGGTATCTATGGCAACTGTTTGCACTGAGATAGGAATTGTGTTTCAGGTACATATGAGTCAGCAGTTGGGAATTCTCTTACTGGATTAATGTCTCCAACTTGGATAACCTGTTTTGAACACTTCCAGTACCTTAATTGCTCAGAGCATTCTCTCTCAAAGCTTTTTTTGATGAACGTAAATAGAGCTTGCATTTCTTCTTTCACAGAAAAAGCATTTGTGATTTGTGTCTATGCCCATCAAGTAGCATTCATGCTGCCAGAAATGCTACACACAGGTGGTAGGGATTTGCATTTTCATGCGAGCTGATGACGACTCCCCTTCTCGGTCAGTTCTGCTTTTTATAGCTCATTGCTTATGAATTACTGTTGCTTCTGAAATTCTGGGCTGCGATTCTCATATCCATTTTTCTTTTGCTCTGTTTCTGATCAGCTGCCTACTTTTGTTCATGACATCATCTGCTGCTGCTTCTGTGCTTCAGGAGAAATTGTTAACATCTGAATCAGTTGCTTTGGTTATAGACAATATTTCCTATGTCAGATTCCCAGAACTGTGAGAGCATGTTCTTGTCTCTCTCTCATATAGAGCATCCCCTTTTCCTTGCTCATACGTAACGTGAAAAAGAGCATGAGCAAGTGAGTCTGAGAGGCTAATACATTAAAATTCATGTTTTTAATTGGAGATTATTGCTTGTTTTTCTGAGGTTATTTATTTTCTCTGCGTAACTTACCTTTTACTTCCAAAAAGGATCAAGTTTCAAGCTCTGGCCAAGTAACCCTTATTTCACAAGAAACACATTGGCCATTTCACTCCAGTTCTGACTGAGCAGCTATTGTGTTACAAAAGACACACCTGGCAACTGGGGGGCTCATTTTTTTCTGCCATGCCAGCTGCCTTGGAAGTTGCTGAGGAACCCAAATGCACAAGCAAGGAAAATCAAAGCCATTAGGTTATCTGCCAGACAGGAGTCCTGCCTGTGGTCTGCCTGTGGATAACATTAAGGAGATAAAGCTCAACCAACTCTTTCTCTCTTCCTCTCTCATCCTTTTGGTTACGTGCTTCTTTCTATTAGGCAACCTCTTATTTCATGCTCCCTCTTCCCTTTGAAATTCTCTTCTTGGAGGCCTAAAGATTGCAGTGTCCCACCTGCAGGGGCAAAAATGGCCCCTACCACCAAAATGGGAGATGTCTGAAAAAGTCCCCTGGTGAGATGACGCCTTGTTTGGCTGCCTGCTGAGGACCCAAGGCAGCTCCAAGCCCTAAGGTAAGTGGCTGTGACATTACAATGGTCTTTGCTGTCAGTATAATTATGCATCAGAAAATCAAGCAGCTTCTGGAAGCTAGTAGTAGTTTCCTAAAAATAGTAATGAGTTAAATGTTAGTTGCTCTTTTACCAGCAAATTGTGGATGTCAAATGTGCACACACACACACAACTGCCTCCTATAATTCGTCTACTTTTAACCACTTGTACAGATTAAATTGAGTGACATGCAAAACAGATATTAAAGACATATGAATACTAAGTTGAGCATATCAAATGAAGGTTTTGGGGAGTTATGTCTGATCCAACATAAAAATTATTTGACTGTAAGTTTTATACTGATATTTCCAAATCACCACTGGGGCTATCAAGCCATTCTCTGTTTTTAATGTAAATTGACCTTTTGTTAAGCATTGGCCCAGCAGATAGCATCCCCTCGAAGGAAACAGACAGGCACGTGCTTTGTTCGGATCCTCCAACTCCTGAACAGCCAATGCAGGTCTTCATATTACAAGGCAGCAACTAGCATAAGAAACAGCTCCCAAGTTAGCCTTGCCTCTGCCATATGGTGCCCTTGCCTACAGCTTCTTCAGAAAAACTCTGTTTATAATCCCTTGCAAAGGAGTGAATTCAGATTTTTCTTGAAATGATTGTAATGGGATTTTTAATTGCTTTTGTAATGTTAAAGAACAGACAATGCTAGTAGCGTACCAACAGCCCCATCATCGTTTTTAGCCTGTCTCCCTCTCAAGGAAAGAATGCTGATAAATTGAGAGAGATTAAAAGGATTTAATTTGGATTTATCTTTCTTAATTTTCAAGACTTAAACCCACCCTTTGAATGCTTCTTTATGAGGAAGTGATCTGAAATCTTTATTAGTTTAATAGGATTTGGCTAATATTACAGCCCTTATCCAATACTCAAGCTGGATTTCCATCAACAGTCTAAACAGATTTCCCTGACACTAAGGCAAATCCTCTCTGTAAACAATTGTAGCTGCCTAACACAAGCCTTGCTACTAGTGCTTTCCCTCCACATGAGTAAGCGATCTCTGTAGAAACCCTCTCCTAAGGAAAGGTGAGGCAGGTGTGACTAAGTGCCAACTACCTGCTTGGTTCTCCATTATGTCATGTGATTAATTATGTCCAAATTTTCTTTTCTTCTCTCTGCATTCTTCTTCCACCTAAAAGTGGGTGAAGAACCCCTGTAATTCTGTCACAAAATCTGCAGTGAGAGATGATTAATAAAATTTCACTGACCACCTTCTCCCGTCTCTAAATTCTTGTATTCCTGGGAAGCTACAAGCTGACCATACAACAGCTGTCTCCATCCCTGAGCTACTTGCAGAGTTTTCCCTCTTTTCCAGCTACTCGTAACAGTTGAAAATGGCAAGCATGTGCAATGTGGTGTTCCCTCTGTCTCTTGCAGCTCCTTCTGTTTGCCTTATATTGCAGGTAGAAGAAAATCTGGGTTTGTAATCTACACTGTCCTGTGTTTTGAATATTATTTAGCAGGGAACCAATACCCATTTTGCTTTTCTAGGACATATTATGACAGCTGTGAATTTTTTAAATTGTGAAAATAATTATCAGAAAAATAAAATATTTCTCATGGAAAAAAAATGTTAAGCATCCCCCATTGTGATCTCAGTGAGCAAAATGCCTCATTTTTCTTTCTGATACATAACATCTGCATCCTGCATATCCCCAAGAAAAGCCTGTTTTGTCTGGTCTTTGGTGGTTCCATACATCAGTAAGAGCTAGCTCAAGTTAACTTGATTATTTTTTAAAGCTAACATGCAGTTTTCAACTGCATGTGCAGAAGTGGCTGACAGAGCAAGCGAAAGGGAGCTACCAGAGAGGTGTTGATGAAGCAGGGCCAGTCACCAGGGGTAATGGCTATCATTCCCCAGCAAGTCTCAGCCTCATTTAACCTGTTTTTACTAATATTTAATTTCTTTTTATTCTACAGTCTATTTTTATTTAATTTATTTTAAAATTTATTTAATGTAATTAATTTTATTTTATTTTATTCTAAAGTTTTTACAGGGGCTTCAGTACTATACCTTGAGAAGGAACTTTCTTCTGCTCATGAAGGCAAAATCACTGTATTTGAGGTAAATCCCCACTCTGGTTAGAAAGGTAGAAAAGAATATGATTAAATAATTGTGTGTCGCTGTCCTTCCTCCCCCTGTCTTTTCACATTTCTTCTCAGATGAGGAATGGAATGTAGTGCCCACAGGGTAAGGCAGTTATTTCGGAGTTTACAGACTATCACAGCCGAATGCTCAGTGACTCCACCTAAGAACAAGTAGCTTCTGAAAGGTGAACCCCCTCCCTCCTAACTTTCCAATAATCAGATTACCAGCAACAGCAGTTTGAGGCATTCAGCGTAACATCTGGGACATGCAGATGTTCTGAAGAATAGAAAGTCAAGGAATTCCTATGGGTAGGCGCTCGCTGCAAGTCGTGACTTACCCACAGGCAGTCCTCAGTCGAACCCACGTCAGTCACTAGATGGCACACTTAAACAACGCACTGCGCTTCCTTACCTTGCTGCACAGGTGCTGGGCTGCGCCGGAGAGCTTTTCCCACGGGAGACAAGGGATTCTTTGATGCACGGCCTTCTGCTGTGTACCTTGTATTTTTATTGCAGTTTCCTGTCTTCATTGGTAAGCTTCCAATTTATTATTAGCACGGCTTTAAGCTGAAAGAGGGTAGATTCAGACTAGATAGTAGGAAACAATTCTTCCCTGTGAGGGTGGTGAGACACTGGCACAGGTTGCCCAGAGAAGCTGTGGCTGCCCCATCCCTGGCAGTGCTCAAAGCCAGGTTGGATGGGGCTTTCAGCAACCTGGTCTAGCGGAAGGTGTCCCTGCCTGTGGAAGGGGGTTTGGGACTAGATGACCTTTAAGGTCCCTTCCAAACCAAACCATTCTGTGATTCTACAATTCTCTGCCTTTAGTTACAGTTAAATTAGTCTTTTCATCTTTAATTTGGGAGAATGGCTCATTTCAGCTGCTTTGAGGAATGTCTGCAAAAAGTGCTATGAATCTGGCTTGTCACTCCAGTAGCAGTCACACAGCTGCAAGGTTAGGGGGATGTATGATTTATCTGGGGGGAAAATAACACATTGTGCAGCCCCTCTTGGACACTGTTTTGAAAGAGCAATTTTACAGAACATTTGTATCCTTCCATCATTTTATTTACACTCCCCAATTATTTAGCAGGACTTTTTATTGTTATCACTGCTACTGATAACATAAGCAGTAATCAAAGTGGTTTTCCTTCTAACCATCCCTGTAGAGAAAAAAATGCATATCAAACCAGGTGATGGGCAGAAATTTCAGTTGTTCTTGCTGTGTTAGTCCTGCCAGGTGGGCATGACATCTTTACTGTACAGCCTACCTTTGTGTTGCAAAAAACCCACAAATTCAATGAAGTTACTTGTACTGCACCTTTTGCTCTGACTTTCAGCCTTGACGACACAAGACTGTCTACAGGACATGAATCCATATACACATACTTGAACTCTGCCCTCTAAGTGGAACCACTGGTGCCAGAACCCAGGGCTGGTTCCCCAGCTTGTGTCGAAGTCCATCCTCTGCCTGGCACAAAGCAAATAACTCCTTGGAGATGCATTTTTACAGCTTGCCAGCCTGGAGTCATGTTTTAAATTGGATCAGCATTTGTAAGGCGAATCTCCTAATTGTGTTTCTAATAATGCCCGGGGCTGCCCAGAGGGCTGATCTATGAGCACTCTGGTGGGGAAGCTTAAGGTCATGATGTGTTTCAGGAGTACACCTAACACTCCTCAGCTGCCAGCAGGCTTTCAGACCATGGGACCAGCCTAGAGCTAGGCCAAAATGGGAATAATGAAGATATCAAGTACTCAAAAAAAAACAAAAAACAAAACACAACCAACCAACCAACCATGGCACAGTACAAATACACCCTATGGAGCCACGCTACCTGCCAAATGTTTGTGGAGATACTGTTCCTGATGGTTAATGTGAAATCTCCCCCAGTCTTCGTTTGGGAACAGTCCTTAAATTTGGCCATCAGTGATCTCTATACTGCATGTTGTTTCCTTCAAATTAAAGCTTTTAGAGAATTTTGTCAACAATTAGAGAGAACATGCCTACATCTCCTCTTTTCTCCTTGCACCTGTAATGAAGTACCTGTCATGGCTGTCCCAGGGATTTGTTCTTTTACACTGTTGATGGACATTGCGACAGACAAAGGAAAAGATTCTATTTTGTACAGAGAAGTAACATAATTCACTGCCCTATTCCACAGTCTGTGGTGCTGAGGGGTTGGAGCATTTTAAAGACATGCTGCAATTTGCCATCTAGGAGGATTCAGTCATGCAGAGTAACTGTGTTCAACCTTGCTGGTTTTCACCTTATATTTCTGGTTTAGAGTAGGATGTATAAAATCCAGACTCAGTGTGCCCTCTAGTGAAAGCATATTCTTTCCTTCTGATTAAAAAAGCATTATCAGAATTTAATGTCCTAGTTTTTTTCTCCCTCTAAATATGGCTACAGAGACCGCTGACAGCACTTAATAGTGGAAAAAAAAATCTTCACAGCAACCTCTTTTGTTAGACAGCAATAATATCTAGTGATGCATGTTATCCATCTCATTTTAGTTGGTGGTATCTGGTAACTTAAGGTCCTGAAGTCTTACTGTGTGGCAAGAAGAAATTAAGCTGGGGCAGAGCAGGAGGAAGAAGAGAACCAGGACTAGTGCTCACACCTGCAACCTTCTCTCCATGGGTCCTTTTTCCTTGAGCACCTTCTACTATGCCAAAAGACTGCAAGGTGTAAAAACATACAGCAACTATTTTGTATCAACTAATGCATACAGTACACAGGTACAACTAACAGCCTACTCAGCTAAGTATTACTTAAATGTTAACTATTACCCAAGTACTTTAGTACAGGTTACTCAACTGAGTATTGCAAATATTATCAGGCAAGCAGCTGTTGGTCAGGAAGGGAACTTTTCATTTCCATGGCTCTTTAGAGTGGATCATGACCCCTTGTCCGGCCAAGCTGCTGTCTGCTGAATCTCTGCCTTCTTTCTGAGGGTGCTGCATCTTTCCCCCCTCCCTAGTATTTTCCAACTAACTTACTGCTGTCACAATTTCACTTCTCCCTGCATACTTACTTTCATATGGCTTTAGCTTACACACTTTCTTGCAGCTGGACAACTTTGTAACCAAAACTCAGCCAAGGTATCACAGCTGTGTCCCCACAAAAGCAAGCCTTGGGTCTTCACAGGCAGCTGAACATCTGCACTGCTGTTTGGTGTTTGAAAGTTAGCTGCACATTTCCACCAGAACAGAGACATTATATTGCTCTCTGTTGTGACACCTAGACTGGTGTTATACTGACCATTAACAGTGGGGGGTTTGAATTCTGATTAGGGCAGGTTAGACTACTAGCTCTTTGGATATTTTGGTACTGTCATGAAGTTCATGCTAGGCAGCCCATTGTAACACCAGCAACAGAGACCTTGAATTAACCATTGCTTATATCACTGAAAGTCTTTCTGATAAACACACTGGTTTTGATTTCTGAAAAAAAATCTTCTAGTGATAGAAACTGTCCCACAGGCACAGATAGGTTGTCCCAGTGATTGCTTTAACCCCTTAAGAAGGACCAAGTGCACCAGCATGTTTTCAGCAAGACATGCTGATTTTGAAATAGACTGTGAAAGATGTGAACAACAGATTTTGTGGTGGAGTCTTTTATAGAGAACAAAGAGAGTATTAGAATCCACCTTGTGAAAGTTCAGACATACAGGAAGAAGACCAAGCTTTTTGAATAGCAGAGCAGAAAAGCCCCCAGGTAACTGATAACTAAAAGAAGCACTTACTTATCAGAAGCCACACATATGGAGAACGAAGAATATGATCTTGGTGGGGCAGCTGGAAAAAAAATCTTTGATTTGCTGGTTAATCAGAATGTACTGCAGGGAAATCAATATAAGGATAATCTCATTTGCTATTTATTTCTGGCTCATATTTTCACAGGCTTGGAAATACGCTTTTCATCAGTCATCTACTCTGGAGAGGAACGGCATGAATTTCAACGCTTCTGCTATTTTCACCTGCAAAATATTCAAAATTGTTTCTGCAGAAGCTATGGGCAGCAGTGGGGGACATTTATTTAAAGAAATTTGGAACAATGGATCACTAGTGATTAAAATAAAAATGGAAATTACATTCCAGATGCAGGAGGCAAATGAGTATTTCATTTATGATACTTTGCCATTTAGCATGTATGAACCAGCTCTGAGCGGCTGCATTTTGGAAATTTTGAAACCTGGTTGTCTTTTGAATCCTATGAAAAATGTAGATTCAGGCTCCGTGTTTTATGCTAATGTGAATAGGTGAAGGAGAATACCAGTTTGTAGAAACAAGGGAATTAGCATGTGAATGGGGAGTATTGGACTTCTCCCTCTTGAAAAGGCAGCTTTCAAAGTAGAAACTGGGATTTAAATCTCACACTGATTTTTCTCTTTTCATATCCTCAAATCATGTTACTTGCAGTGCATTAACAGCCTTTGAGCCTGTACCCCATTGGGCTACAGGTGCTGTCATTTTAACTAATAGCTATAATCTACAAATCTAACAATCAATGAACCAACCTGTTTTCTCCACCACCACCCCCCCCTTCTTAATTCTACTCTTGGATCTCAGTTTCAGTTTTCAGGACTGACGGTTATAAAAATACTTGCAAAGAAAGAAGCTGACTGTGAGACCAGCCTGGACTCCCTCCTTCCTCATCAAATCCTGTTTTTCAGAGGACTGCATTGTCAGCCTCACCAGAGAGGTTTGCTTCCAGTGCTGATGTATTCCTTGCAAACAAAACAAGCTTGCAGCAGCATGTTGATGAATAAGCTAGATTGCAGTGACACAGGAGAATTAGTGCCTACTGAAGGGAGACAACTTGTGGAGATAGTTTCAGGAATGCTTTCAGCATAAGCGGCCATCCACATGTCTAAAACTGCACAGCTCAAACAACTTGGTCCCATACTGCTACGGATCAAGCCATCTTCAGCAGAGACTACATTCACATTCTCTGCTCATGTGAAGTAAAAATTCAGGAATCTCTGCTGTGACTGAAACTCCCCAATGAAAGCAGATTTTTGCCTTCCGAGCTCTTCTCCTCCCTCTCCCCCACCTCCATTCCCCTGAATTAGCCATAGCAACCTGCCCTGCATTTCAAACACCTGCTTGCATTTATGCAATGGTGTGACAGTTTGCTTTCCTTCATTGCATTTTATTTGCCTTTGTTTAATGATTAAAGCAAACCAAAACCGTTGTAGCAGGTTTTAAGTGCCTTCTTCAGCAAAGAACAGAGCTTGCAGTATGATCTGGTGGCATGACACTCCTGCCTCTGCCAGCACCAAAGCTGGGCCACTTTGGGCTGCTCCCAGGACAAGCCCTGCAAATATGACTTGGTATGATGCTCTCTGCCCCACCCAGCCTGCTTTTATCTGCAAATACATCTACATTATTTTGAAAACAACATTTTAATTGACAATAAAATGGAGATTTTTCACGTTTAGTCCTCTTTCTTGTTTGGGGTAACCGCAGCAGTCTTCTTACAAAGTAACACTAATCTGAGGTCTGTAGCAACTGGATGTTCCCACTGCATTAAAAAAGAGTGGTGGCTAAAATCCACTTCTGCTGCATTGCCAGTTGGAAGGGTAGCAGGAGGTGCAGCTATATTATGCTGCTTTAAGGGTATAAAGTTCCTTTTTCTCCTGACAGTGCCAGTGTTTGCCTTTCTGACTAAATGACTGACTGAGGCGAAGCTGCTTTGCTCCTAGGGGGAATGTAAGTCACTCAATAAAACAAGTGTTTACAGTGGTAAGATTACAAAGGTTGTTTGTGTTTGTTTGTTTTTAAAATGAGTATGGACTTGTCTTGATTGCCCTAATGGGCAAGAAAAGTTTTCTAATTACTTCACTGAAAATCTTGATTGGTACAGAACCAGTGTTGGAGCTGCCTTGTAACAAGATGCAGTGTCTCCCAAAAGGATTTAATTGAGGCACCTGTGATCTCCTCAAGAAGAGGCAATTTAGGTGGTAGCTGGGAGGAGGGAATGCACCATTTTTCAGTTCAAGTCACCTTTACCATCCTTTGAAAGCAACAACTGGTGTCACGTTCCTAAATCTGCTTTGCACTTTGCTAATTTCAAGGAACTCCCACCTGACATCTGTGTCAGTCTAACCTTGCAGTTAGTCAGGCTGTGCTTAAAGATGAGATACAGTAACATGGCTGAACAAATCTCCTGCTGAAAGGAGTTCCACTATTACCCTGGTTTCTTTGCAGCTCTGGAGAGTATCTGTAACCTCTTCACTGTTTTGGTGAGAAGCAGGGAAGTAGGAGCACTTCTCTGCTTCTGCAAACTCTGGCATAGCCTGAGGTTGGGTTTGCCTTCAGCGGGGTAAGGCGGCATTCCAGGAAAAGTGAGGTGGGACAGTCCCTCATTGCAGCTGAGGTGCTTGTGGCAAGGTGTGAGCCTGATACAGCCACAGCCACCTTCTGCAATATCAGTATATGTATGTGGTCAGGAGACTTTCTGGCAAAGCATTTTAACAAAAAGTATTGTAAACAATTGAGACGATGGACTCTTCATTAGGGACTGTAGAGACAAGACAAGGAGGAATGGGTTTAAACATAAAGAGGGGAAGTTTAGGTTAGATATAAGGAAGAAGTTCTTTACTGTAAGGGTGGTGAGGCACTGAAACAGGTTGCCCAAGGATGTTGTGAATGTTCCATCCCTGGCAGTGCTCAAGGCCAGGCTGGAAAGAGTCTTGGGTGACATGGTTTAGTGTGAGGTGTGCCTGCCCATGGCAGGGGAGTTGGAACTTGATGATCTTAAGGTCCTTTCCAACCCTAAATATTCTATGATTCTTTGACAAAATACTCATTTTAAACAAATTCCTTCATGGAAGGAATGGGCTGAGATAATAAATAAATATGGAAACACAAAGCAATTCTCAATGTTAATGTTAAGTAACAACAAATATGAAAATCAACTTCATAATTCCTATTTTATAATCATAGGATTACAGACTGGTTGAGGTTGGAAGGCACCTCTAAGATGAGGAGAACCTCCCTTGTACAATACCCTTGCTCAGGCAGGGCCACTGAGAGCTGACTGCCCAAGTCTATGCTCAGACATCTTTGGATATTTCCAAGAGTGGAGACTCCAGTGTCCTTGGTCAATCTGCGCCAGGACACAGTCCAAGCTCTCTCAGTCTTTTCTCACAGGAGAGGCGCTGCAGTCCCTTCATCACCGTTGTGGCCCTTCTTTGGACTGTCTCCAGTATGTCCATGTCTCTCTTATACTAGGGAGCCCAGAGATAGACACAGCACTCCACGTGTGGCCTCACCAGTGCTGACTAGAGGGGAAGGATCATCTCCCCTGACTTGCTGATAGTTCTGGCAATAATCATAACAACTGAAATATTTCACTTCTTTTCACAACTAAAATTATTTTGAAGGATGATACTAAATGACTTTGTAGAAGAAAAACATTTTGCATTTAGTTTTTCTGATAACTTAGTGAACTCAAATCTGTACGATCAGAATTGCAACTATGATACTCATGAATACATGAGATGTGATTTGGTAGGGAGATGTCATTTGAATGAAAAGGACAGAAATGGTGTGCATTGCCTAATGTTTCTGCAGTCAGAATCCAATAGCTTCCTGACCATCACTGAAGCACATCTAAACCATTTCACACACAATAGTCACCTAATCCGTTTATGTGACTTACAACATGTCTGTGAGAGGGAAAGGGGCTCAGTTTCACCTGTATAGTGAGGCATTTATTTGGGAGGAACAATACTTGATATTCTTATGGCATTACATTTTCAGCTGATACTGTATAGTAATGAAAACATTTTTCATGTAAAAATAAAAACTACAATAAAATAGTCAAAATCTGATCTCAACCAGTGAAAAATTATAGAATAGGTCTAGCAAGGTGGTGAATACCATGCCATTATAACCAGTGAGCCAGAAGACAAATAAATCACCTGAAAAATGCAGCCTTACGCCTAAGTATTGTTATCCTTCCCCTCTGTGCCTGGCTCAGAAAGATTACTTTTCATGTTAACAGAACTGGACTCCAGCTTCCACTTAGATACATTAGGAAAGATAGTGAAGGGTGACACTAGTCCACTTATGTGTCACTCAGAGTGATGTGAAAGTATCAAGACAAGGACAATTTCTGAGAGCAACTCCCTCCAGTGCTGCTTTATCTCAGGTGATTGCTGATTCCATGGCTGCCTGGATGCTTTCTGTAGAGAGGTCCATCTTATATTTTACACTGAATCTTATCTGGAAATGTGAGTTGTGGTCCCCAGAGGGTAACAGCTGTAGCACAAACAAGACACAGTCCCTTTGGGCCATAGGGTATAGATATCTAGGCCTGCTTATGCTGTAGCTTCAGTCATGGGTGCACCTGATAAATCTTTTTTTTCCTTTCCCCTCACTTAGAAAAAGTAATTTTGTAATCTTATCTTATTCATTATGCATGCGTAACATCAAACTACCAGAAGTCAATACCCGTGAAGTGGTTAAGGGCTGGTGAATGTCTGCCAAACACAACTGAAAATGGCCTCTAAAGGCAAGCATATAGCAACTGTAACAACAAAAATGGTCTATGCTCTTCATTCTGCTTTTCAGTGTGTCCATCCCACACCACTCCCAGCTTCAGCTGAGAAGAAAAGCATTAAAACTACACAGATGTGGAAATGTTGCTAATCATTTGAGTCTGACACCCTCAATTCAATCGCTTAATGAAGTGTAAATATTACTCTGGACCACCTGTGGTTCCAATCTTATCTATGTCCACATTCATATCCTTATCTAATCAGGTGCAGACCTGAGTGATGATGCAACATGGAGAAAGTAAGACTTCCAGATAGTCAGATCTCTTCACAGAATCAATTTTTCACCTGAAAAATGGCATTTTATGACTCCTCTTATCGCAAAGCGCAGTTTTCTCCCCACCCACGAAGCTCTCCGGCTATGCTTTCCCACTGCTCATCAAAATAATTTGCAAAACAAGCTGCACATTATGTTTAGTAGGCAGAACATTTGTTTTGTTTTTGTTTTTGTTTTTTTGCTAAATTACAGTATTTTCCAGTCCCATTCTTTGAGCAAGCCCTGTATAGGGACCCAGGATATTTTACCTAATGGTACTCCTAGAAAAGCCACCAGCTATTGGCAGCCGGCCTTCAAGTCTGAATTTAGGCCTAAATACACTTACCAGGATCAAGTTCATGCATATGCCAAATGAACATAATGCATTTACTTCTTCCTTGAACTATGTATATTAAAACAAACTAAAATGTCATGGGATTCTTATTTGGCATTGGTCTTGAGCCCCACTATAGGCATGGATCTGAGCAATCATGCTTGCATCCTGATCTGACTTCCCACGGTTAAGAAGAACTGGAAATTACCATCATGATGAAAAAATGGCTGTACAATACCTACCAGAAAAGCTTATCTCTAACCAAAACCTAGCACTACTATAACCATGACAAAGGTTTCTCGTAGTAGTGAGGAGACACAAACTTCCTTAATTGTTCTCTTCTTTCTCCTTGCAGAACTTCATCTGCTGGAAGTTATGCTTAGGGCTACTTTGTTAAGTCACTGTACACAGATATAACTACTGTACTTGCCTATTTTCTCCTCTAGACCAATTTTCTCCTCTAGACCATTCTATAAGCTAAAGTCTGCAAACTACTGCAGAAAAATCAAGTAAAATATATCTTGCTGTTTACAGTGAAGGGGAACTCCCGAATCTTGCAAAAAGTAGTATCAGCAGAAGGTGCAAAAGTGGATTTGAAGTCCAAGATGTCACCAAAAGGACAAAGATGATGTTTAACCTGTGCTATGCAAACCGGTTCAGTTTCTTTACTGTGCACTTCCAAATCAGTAATAAATAAACTGAATAAATATATGATAATGGGACCAATAAAAGCTTATTGGTTGAAAAAATGTGGAAAAGTAGTTTTAATACAGAAATTGGAGAAACTACAGTCATTAGTTTAAACTTCCCATGGGCTCAAGTTAAGCCTAAAAGTCCCACCAATTCATGTGTAAATCTACAGAGTGAAAAAGCCCAATGATCAGTAAGAACCATCGGCTAATAAAACATACCAAGTCAGACAAACCTGATACCCAAACCCACTGTAATTACGTGTGTGCTATATAAAGGCATTCTAGTGCATGTAAAGCTTATCGATTTTAGAAAAGCACTTGATATGACACTGAATTAAAAAAAAATCTAGC